TAGTTGTTAAATGTTTTAAATGGGCTTGGCTCCAGGTGCCTCTTTGTGATGATAGCCTCACACTGAAGTGCCTCCACTGTGGTAAAACCATAGCAGCTAACTTCTGCGTCGGCCTACAGAAATTCTTCATCCCTGGAGCACTCTGTTGAGGAAAAACTAAGTCTAAACACTTAAGTAACTAAAACCAAGCCTCTGGTAAAAATAATCAGATAATTTGCATACACAGAAAACTGGTCCACCAATGACGCCATCCCCACTGCCCTCCACACCACTCTAAGCCATCTGGAACAGCCAGGGACCTATGTAAGGATGCTCTTCATCGATTACAGCCCCCTAACACCTGTGCCTGGATTAAGGACTTCCTCTCCAACCGCCCACAGTCAGTCAAGATCGGTACCTACAGCTCCTCCACCCTCACGCTCAGCACCGGCTCTCCCCCAGGTTGTGTGCTGAGCCCATTCCTGTATGCCATTTATACCCATGACTGCTCCCCCATCCACCCAACCAACACAATAATAAAATTTGCAGACGACACCACCTTGGTGCAGCTCATTACCGGAGGAGAAGAGTCGGCCTACAGGGACGAGGTGCAGCGGGTGGCAGAGTGGTGTGTGACAAATAACCTGTCTCTTAACACCAAAAAAAAAACCAAGAAGGTGGTCCTGGATTTTAGGAGACAGAAAGCTGAACCTGATCCCCTCTTCATCAATGGAGACTGTGTCGAGAGAGGGTCACCACCTTTGAATTCCTGGGGACATCGCCAGGTCTTGATGCCAGCTCTCGATGCCTCTCCAGAGCAAAGAGGATCATCATGGACCACCTCCATCCTGGACACCACTTGCTCATCCTGCTGCTCTCTGGAAGGATGTACAGGAGTCTCAAAAGCAGGACCAACAGACTGAAGAACAGCTTTTAACCCGTGGGCTGTCAGGACACTTAACACCCACATTTCAAAACAATCCAGATAACAATGCAATATATGACAGATTAAAACTACCTCACACACAAGTGCAATAACAATATTCTGCCTACATTCTGTTTTTATTTATGTATTTATTATTATTTATGACACTGTTTGTTTAATGTACTGTTATGTTCCTATCTCATTTTTTGTTGTTGTTGTTGTTGGTTTTTTTTCTTTCTCTTATGCACCTTCAGTTGTGGCACCCAAAATTTCTTTGTATAGGCGCCTCTACAATGACAATAAAGGCAATCTTATCTTAAATGTGTATTTTTGTCAAAACATATGAGTACACTGTAGTTCATGACATACAGGTGTGTTATGTGTTGCAATGTACAAACAATGCTTGAATATAACGTGAGCTAATGTTAATCTTTGATACACTTACCACCACAGCAATCACGCTAGATTGCTCCGTCAATGTTCGATCAGACGTACAGTCTCCTGGACTTTATTCACCTATTCATTAGTAATGAAAGTTAGAATTCATAAGTATCTATTGGTTGCAATTATTCAACTGTACAATATTTTTTAGTATACGACTTACCATGCACATAACATATTTCTTATGTACAAACACATTAACAATATATATTTTATTTTTAATATTTTTATATCTAAAGTACTAGCATTAAACACTAGCATAATGCACATTCATTTTCTTATTTTTTTGACTATTGCTTAATATTTACATACTTCCTTTTCATACTTTGCCACACATGCCACTTCTGTGTCTTTACAGAACTTAGCTCTGTGTCTGTGTAGAGAATAAGGAAACTGGAATAAATGCCACTTCTTATTTCTCATGACATTAATGTGCATCATCTGTCACATGCATGGTGGCCTGGTGGTTGGCAGGGTTTTTTCAGTGGCCACTGGATGTGCTTTCTCATGCTGATTGTGTTTGTCTTGTTTCCCTCTTCGTACAGTATCGACATATGTGATCAAACCAGACTGTACTGAGGCCGGAGCTGAAATGCTTTTTTATATATATTATCAAAAAGTCTCTGGCTGATACATCTGTGTCCGTATAAGTTCTGATGATTTCGGCTTTGCTTACAAATGGTAACCTTTTTTTTTCAGTTACCGCCACATCCGTGGGTGAAATAGTCTAATTTAGGGGCTCTAACAAAAGAGGCTGAATGGATGGCCCCTATTTGTAATACCAGATTTTCGCTGTCAGTCTATAAATGATCCAAGGCTGCAGATGAAGAAAACAAACTGAGATACATGATTTTATTTGTTCTAGCTACATCTCTTATTTGGTTTATTTAGTCTCATAATGATAATAACAATAATAGTAATTAAAGCTGCAAGCAGCGATGAGTGGGCCCTTGCACCTTCGTGAAACTCGGGGGTGATGGCAGGACATCAGCTGACAAGGCAGTTCATTTTTGTCAAAGTCAGGACTGAGACAGCATATCCGTTCATTAAGTGTGGGCACTGGAATGACCTATTTCACATTTTGTACCACATCCTTTTTCCACGAGAGGGCGCTGGAGAACGCATTAATAATACATCATGTTTTTGTACATTGAATATAGACCTGTCTGAAAAGACATACTTCCTGTTGCCCATAGGTGGCGCTGTGTGTATGACTGAACATTGTCATATAGTTGTGTTCAGGGTGTGACTGTTATCAAACATGTGAAGTGTGGTGCAGATTGGACCATTAACATGACAGTTATAGGAATTTCATGTTTCATGGCGAGACATTAAAACCTGATACCACGCTATGGCCACAACATTCAGTGCTGACCCTGGAGAATGCACTAATGACACGCCATGGTTTTGTACATCAAATATAGACCACAACATGTAAATTTCATGTGAATCAAAAGGTAAGTGTCTGAAAAGATGTACTTCCTGTTGCCAGTAGGTATGTGTAATACCAATTAGATGTGTAAGTAGATGTGTTCAGGGCAGGACTGTCATCAATCCTGTGAAGTTTGGGGAAGACTGGACCATGTGTGCTGGAGTTATAAGCTACTTCCTGTTTTGTGGCGTGACCTGTAATTTTGACACCTTGCTACGGTCAGTTGGTTTGATAAAAACTCAAGCCTGTTATATCTTTTTCAGTGAGACAGAGCAAGGCTTGCTAGGACTAGTTTGTTAAAGCAACACAATGTAGGATAGTGCTTTTTACCCCTATAGACGAAAAACGGTATTGTCTGTTACAGCTGTCGCAAAAGTCTTTCTGCGCGTGCATTTGTTGACAAACCAACGATACCGGTGAACTTCCTTAAGCTGGATGTGTAATGCGCAATCATCATGTCTTCAGAACAGGTAAAGTAGCCTTATTATATAGATTGGGCCAATAGCCGGGCCAATATTAATCCTTGTTCGAGCTCTTGATTTATCGCTCTCCCTTTTTCTTTGTCTCCTTGGACAACACCTTCATGTTCTTCCTTTTCTTTGTCGCTTCAGCCATGACAACCATGTCTAACTTCGTTCACCTCGTTTCGGCTACGCTACTCTAAAGAGAGGAGCGGGATATGGCGTGTGCTTCTTCTTCTTCTTTTTTTGCTTTCCAGTGGTTGGCATACAGCATTTGGTGCATTACTGCCACATATGACGTATGCCGTAAAGCAGCCAAATTTTGTAGTCCTTTTTGTGTCCGGGTTCCTACCCGAACCCTGAAACTGCATAGTGCCAGTGCAAGTGAAACAGACGCTCTCAAGCAATGATGAAGGTGTCATCCAACCTATCATGAGTTGATGTACCATCACAAGGATCTTGGATATATATTTTGAGGGCTCAAAAAACTCTATTGTGTTGCTTTAAAGTACAACACCTGGAAATGGCCAAAAATGCACAGTAAATTCAAAATGGCGAGAGAGTTTAGAGTATGGTTCTGAATGGCTATTTTGTACATCCTGGGATGTTACATGTGCCTACCAAGTTTCATACATGTAGGTCAAAGCAGCTTTTGTTGAAATTGTATAGGGGGCGCCACTGAGCCATTTTTCTTTGCACCCGAGCTGGAGACCCTTAAGATATCAAATTTTTCGCCAGATGTGATATATGTGCAAAGCTTTGTGAGTTTTTGAGTATGTTAAGCCTTCCAAAAAGGCAATTCATTTGGGGGAATAATGAACAAAAAAAAAATCTTTGCATTTCAACAGGGTCCTCGCACCTCGTGGTGCTCAGGCCCTACTAATAGTAATAAACCTTATTTATATAGAACCTGTCATACAAGAAATGCAGCGCAAAGTGCTTTACAATAAGGGCAGTATACATGCTTCACATGAAAATAGACAAAATGAACATAAAATAGACATGGCAATTCAATAATAAAAGGACATTTTAAAAACAGAGTTGTTAAACTATAAATCAAAAATTCATGTAAGATTTCAGAAGAGTTGCAGCAACATGAATCGTGAAAAGAAAGAGTTTCAGACCTGTATCAGGAAGTCATAGCTGGTTAAAGGCTGAAGTGAACATACAGATTTTTAGCTGTCTTTTAAAAATATTTAACTAATTCTCATATGTATTTTCATTTTCTTGTGCCACAAGATACACCATATGTGATGGGACATTTTCCACAGAGGAAGCTGCCAACCGCAAAAGAATTCAAGTATTTTGGGTTTCAATGAAACACTGACTTGTCAAATGCCTTTTGTTTCCTATTGTTTCTGCCGTCTCTGTTGCTTTCCCACCAAAACACATTAAAATTGACTCCACCTTGAGCAAATTCTTGGAGGAAACCCAGAGTACTTGTCATTCTTTTGCCATTATGGTTACTGATTATACTCAGTCACCATAATAGTGAGTCATAGCCAACCGGAGCCACTGCTATATAATAACCGAACCCGTTTCATATGACACTAAAGTTTGCACTTGAAAAACATTTTTTACAATATACTGAAGATACCAATGTCAATGAATTAGAGCCCATTTCTCTTGTTAACTAGTAACATGAACTTTTATTTTGATAAGATACATGAGCTACTGTGACGACACATCAACATGAAGCACACGCCTTAAAGGTAATATTTACTTATGGTGTTGTGTTTAAAGTGCTGTTAGGGAGACCAAACAGGCAACACAGCAGACAGGTGGAAGTAGAAGGAGTGTGTTTGGCAGTAGAGTATGTGTGTGGATCATTTTTGGTGGAATGGTGGATTTTTAGGAGGAATGGCATGACTGGACCTTTGACCTGAGCAACAGGATCGAGTCGTTTGTTCTTCTCGAGAGGTTTCGTCAGCAGACATGGCTTCCCTCGGGCAGATCATCTTCTACAGGTGTGGCCGTAAGGTTTGACTGTGTTCTCTACCCATGGTTGTTCAATTCTGAAAACATTTAAGTGTCTAAAGTTAGCAGTTAAGTGCAGTTTGGAGTTACTTGTAGTTTTCTTGAGTATTATAGCTCCTGTTTGCTTCTCTTAAACTACATTTCAGGAGGAAATGTACCTTTTACTCCACTTTTTTTGACAGCTGTAGTCACTGCTTGTTTTCAGATTATATATTATAAAATCCAATGCATTGTTTATTACTTAAACAGCAATGCAATGTCAAGTAGCTTTTATGAGTTGTTAGCTGCCTCAGCAGACATTCCAACTCAAGGAACAAGGAACAAAGAGGTAAAAATAATCCACTATTTCACAGAAAAGGCAAAAATGAGAGAAAAAACCAATATAAGAGCACAAAATTCATCAGCAACACATTTATAAGTCCTCTCCCATCAATCATCTCACGACTCTGGCTGCAACTAGCAATTATTTTGATTGTTGGTCAATGTGTCGATCATTTTCTCGATTAATATAGAGGCATTTTTAGCATATGATATATTTATCTCTTTGTGTTTCCCGTTGCTACGTTGGGTAAAACGTTGATTTATCTATGTACTTTGTATTTCTATGGCTACAGTATGGGTGTAGGGCCCAAGACACATTTCCCACTCTCTGGAACAATAAAGTTAATCTTTACTCTTGAATTTTGAATCTTAATTGATTCTTGTTTGGATCTATAAAATGTCTATACGATGAATGTTCTATAAACTATCTAGTCAAGTGTTTCCCAAAACCCAGGAAGACGTCCTCAGATGCCTTGTTTTGTCCACAACCCAAAAATATTCAGTTTTTTTCTCTTAAAAACATACTCAAATTGATTAATTGATTATTGAATTAGCTGACGATTAATTTAATGGTTGACAACTTGTCAATTACTACATGAATTGTTAATCGTACGACCCCACAGATTAATTTAGTGACTCTTTACTGGTGACACACCCCATAGGTTTGGAACTACAGGACTAAACTACCAAACCTTATATGACTAATGTCTAATAATAATCGAATGAGTTCTTTTACATTCTGCCTATAATATTTGTGTAGTTTTACTTTAATGTAAAACTTCTTAAGGAATATTTTTATTGTCGCGTTGATTCTTTTACTTAAGTAAATTATATGCAGACTTTTTCCACCACTGAGTGTCTGCAGATTTCCGCAGCAGTGGGAACATCTTCATCTTGGTTGTTGTGATCTACAAGTTGATTTTAGCCCAAGTGGACAGTGTGTTAATTTCCTTACACCTTCCTGTGTGTGTATTTCTCTTTGTGTGCAGTATGATTACCCTCATCATCCTATTCTCAGCCCTCATCATCCTCATCTTATCCTTGGCCTTCACAGGTAAGACCCACGGATCCTTCTGAGATGGTTGTATCAGTAGTGACGGCTCTGTTAGGCCTGAGGGGTTTCCTGGGTGTGTTCAGCACATGCTGTGTTTGTCTTAACTAAAAAGGAGCTATTTCTTGGAATTGACACAAACCCACCTCATCGTTAAAGGGACAGTTCAGCCTCTTTGTCAGTCTAGATTGTTTAGTGTGAGTTGTAAAGTGTTGAAGATAGCAGCTGTAGAGATGTCTGCCTTCTCTCCAATATAGTGGAACTAGATGTCACTCAGCTTGTGGTGCTCAAAGCGCCAAAAAAATACACCTGAAAAACTCAGCAGCAATGTCTCTTCGCAGAAATCATGATCCGGTTACTCAAGATAATCCACAGACCTTGTTGTGAGCAGTATTTTCTTTCTACTGAACTACACCCACCAGCTGAATCACCATGCAGAAGGAAGGGTGCATCTACTGCTAGCTCAAGTAGCATCACTGAGCTAGCTAATGTTACGCTCAGCCATTGAGGGCACCATTAATGTTTGCAAATGCACGCTACCTTCTGCATGCTAATATGCTTAGCAGCACTGGTTTTGTGGAGGTTGTACACAGGTACGCCATACACCTACCTCTTTTTCTGGCTGTTGACAGTATAGACCCTTTTACTGTTAGTAAACATTAGGATGTTTTGTGGCTGGCGGGGCTTAGCTGGAGGCAAAACAATTCCCCACAGACATTAGCTAGAGCTAGCAAGTTCTGTTGGCTTGTTTTACACTGTGGAGGAAGATGATGTGAGTGGTGCATTCAGAAATACTCATTCTCAGTGTTGGAGTCACTCTGACACAAACTGGACCGTTTGTAAATTTGGAGCACTGTCGAAATGTACTGTTCGGTTATTCAGAGCAACGCACTCTCCGAGTGGCAGAGTGCACTCTGGGCACTCTGTCTGGGGAGACGGAGCAGCGGAGCGCGGAGTGGAGTGAATGTGTTATTAACTTAAAGAGGCAACAGATAGGATTTGTTTTTCTTTAGCTTGGCGCCACCTAGCATCAGCGGTGTTGCTCGCACTGTTGCAACGACCAAATTGACCGTGGGGATCAGAGATAATCAATAAAATGTAGGCTGTAAAGCCACCAGTATACCTCTATGTATATGCAGAATGAGAAGGTGTGTGGACACTCTACTAAATAAATGAGTAAAGAGACCGAGCAACAATTATCAGATTTATCGGAAGAAAAAACAAATAGTAATGCAAATAATTATAGCAGAATGCACAGTACCAGTACAAACAACTCACAGTGAATTATATCAATATGTACAGTATCAGTACAAACAACAGTAGATATGTAAGGGATAATGTATAGTGAGCCGGGGACTGTTGAAAAATAACTCCCTTACGAGTTATTTTTCAACAGTCACCGACTCACTATACATTATCCCGCTTAGAACATGGCTTACTACTAAAACATTCAAATGTTACAACTGGCATCAATATTATTAAACTGCTGGCAGAATGTATTGACAGAGGAGAGGCGTTCACCAGACAAACGGGAGCGGAGGAGAGGATTTCACTCCACTTCTCCCGGTCGGAGATGCTGGGTGCCCAGTAGCCCCGAAGGCTGCCCTCACATTTATGGCCAGTGACCGACATGATCTCCCTGCTCTCCAGGCCAGCTTGAGAGAGCTGTGTGGACTAACGTTAACTGATTTTGATGCTCCTCAGTCTAAGACCGTTGCTATGGGGTCCCTAGCAATGGAGCAGCAGAGCAGCGGTGATACCTCAAGAAATAAACACCGCAGAATTTTGCTGATTGACCAATCAGAATCAAGTATTTAAGAGTGCCATGTTCTAAAGTGGAATTATACCAATATGCACATGTAAACAGTCCCGATTCTAGAATAAACGGAACCATCACTTAGCTGGGCGATGTCCGTCGATAGCTGTCTCTGTGAGAAGAGAACAGAAGGAAGGGAGGGGGGTAATCACTGTCCGAGGGCTGCCGTAGAATGGCAACCAGGATGTCAGCCGACCAACACTCGCTACCCGGTCCCTGGTTGCGGCTATTTGTGATGCTGGCCAGCTAGGATTTAACTAGCAGCCAGTATAGTACAGTCCTCTCTCGTCTAGCTAACATTTAGCCGTGTTACTTGATGATCCATTAGAAAGAAAGCTAGCTGGACATCGGCTTTGGTCACGGAGCTCCCTCCATCCTGACTTAGGTTTACTCTTGTTTTTCCTCTTCTTTTATCACTCTCCTTTTTGCTCTTCTTTGCCTCCTCAGACAGAGGAGCTCGTTTTCTTTTGCTAGGCCGTTTTTCACTTGTCTCCAAACTTTGTCCATCTGCCTTTGTGCTCCTGACTCAACTATCTCATACCCAACTCCTCATAAGGACCAGCTCCAGTCCCTGATTGGCTGACTGACCAGTTTCGCAATACATGATGCCTTTCCTGCCGTAAAGCAGATTTTTTTCCACGAAATTTCGGCACTGGTGGCAGAAGCTTATTGCAAAGATTGCAAAGCCACTAAGTGACCTACAGTACAGGCCAAAAGTTTGGACACACCTTCTCATTCAATGCGTTTTCTTTATTTTCATGACTATTTACATTGTAGATTCTCACTGAAGGCATCAAAACTATGAATGAACACATGTGGAGTTATGTACTTAAAAAAAAAAGGTGAAATAACTGAAAACATGTTTTATATTCTAGTTTCTTCAAAATAGCCACCCTTTGCTCTGATTACTGCTTTGCACACTCTTGGCATTCTCTCCATGAGCTTCAAGAGGTAGTCACCTGAAATGGTTTTCCAACAGTCTTGAAGGAGTTCCCAGAGGTGTTTAGCACTTGTTGGCCCCTTTGCCTTCACTCTGCGGTCCAGCTCACCCCAAACCATCTCGATTGGGTTCAGGTCCGGTGACTGTGGAGGCCAGGTCATCTGCCGCAGCATTCCATCACTCTCCTTCTTGGTCAAATAGCCCTTACACAGCCTGGAGGTGTGTTTGGGGTCATTGTCCTGTTGAAAAATAAATGATCGTCCAACTAAACGCAAACCGGATGGGATGGCATGTCGCTGCAGGATGCTGTGGTAGCCATGCTGGTTCAGTGTGCCTTCAATTTTGAATAAATCCCCAACAGTGTCACCAGCAAAACACCCCCACACCATCACACCTCCTCCTCCATGCTTCACAGTGGGAACCAGGCATGTGGAATCCATCCGTTCACCTTTTCTGCGTCTCACAAAGACACGGCGGTTGGAACCAAAGATCTCAAATTTGGACTCATCAGACCAAAGCACAGATTTCCACTGGTCTAATGTCCATTCCTTGTGTTTCTTGGCCCAAACAAATCTCTTCTGCTTGTTGCCTCTCCTTAGCAGTGGTTTCCTAGCAGCTATTTGACCATGAAGGCCTGATTGGCGCAGTCTCCTCTTAACAGTTGTTCTAGAGATGGGTCTGCTGCTAGAACTCTGTGTGGCATTCATCTGGTCTCTGATCTGAGCTGCTGTTAACTTGCGATTTCTGAGGCTGGTGACTCGGATGAACTTATCCTCAGAAGCAGAGGTGACTCTTGGTCTTCCTTTCCTGGGTCGGTCCTCATGTGTGCCAGTTTCGTTGTAGCGCTTGATGGTTTTTGCGACTCCACTTGGGGATAAGGCACACCTGATAAGGCACACCTGTGAAGTGGAAACCATTTCAGGTGACTACCTCTTGAAGCTCATGGAGAGAATGCCAAGAGTGTGCAAAGCAGTAATCAGAGCAAAGGGTGGCTATTTTGAAGAAACTAGAATATAAAACATGTTTTCAGTTATTTCACCTTTTTTTGTTAAGTACATAACTCCACATGTGTTCATTCATAGTTTTGATGCCTTCAGTTAGAATCTACAATGTAAATAGTCATGAAAATAAAGAAAACGCATTGAATGAGAAGGTGTGTCCAAACTTTTGGCCTGTACTGTATGTAAATGCTGACAGTCTGATTTTACTGTGGCCACTACCCTGTGCAACCCACATTATTTTCATAATGATATATTTAGGAAAAGATGCTGTCTGTTGCCTCTTTAACCGCTGGTTAATTCATGTAGAAATATAACACTCGGTTTCTTCGACCAACAGGGCTCTCATTTAGTGTAGAGCGTCAGACTGAATTTACCAACGCACCATGTCAGGTCATTCACTCTCAGGGACCGCCAGTGTTACTTGAATAAGTAAACACTGGCCAATGGGACCAGACTGGCCGACCTGTATGCTCTCTGTCTGTGTCCTTGTACAATAGGCAACTTGTCCGAGGTGATGAGCAGCAGCAGGTTCCCCGTCGCCAACCTCGGCGAGGACAAGCTCATCAGCTGCTATCTGAACACAGAGAGTCAACAAGGCAGACTCAGAGAGGTGTCAGTCATCTGGGAGAAGAAGGATATGACGGGACTGGTTTACCAGTACAGGGACGGAGCTCCGGCTCTTGAGCGCCAGAACTCCCAGTTTAAAGGGAGAACTCAGCTTTTCCCCGATGCTTTGCTCACGGGTAACGCCTCCCTGCTGCTGAGGAGTGTGAGACAGAGTGACGAGGGGCAGTACACCTGCAGCATCACCTCCTCTGAGGGAGGAGGGAAGGTCAATATTCACCTCAGAACAGCAGGTAGGATGACTCGTCTTTCCAGTTTCGCGGTGTGTTTGCTTTGAAAATGAAACTCTTTAAGAACACTGAAAACTTCCCTGTAATTACCTCTGTTTAGCATTTAGAGATATTATTTGATAATCATTTTAAAAGGGTTTATAACACACATTGTCATTGCCTATCTCTTTATACATCAGCATCCACTTGTGGGTGTCCACATGAGGATATATAGTTGTTCACAAATACTTTAAATTAATAAACACTATAAAATGTCCTTAGATCTGTATACAACTACATCACATTGTGTTTAAACAGTTTATCATATGTTTATGTGCTGCTTATAAATGCTAACTAGGGGGATTAATGAGCACATTTGTATGTGTCTGTGGTCACTTATCTTTCTATGGAGGATGAAAAGTGACACAAGTATCAATGAATAAATGAATAAGTACAGAATTAGATCAATAAAAGAATAAATAAATGCTAAAAAAAAGTTAAATAAATGCAAAAATGCTAAAACTCAGAAATTCAGAAATAAATAAATATAGTCTCAATGTAAAAATAAATAATTTAAGATATTTTTTTAATTTATGTCCTGTTTAATTGTCAACTTTTATTTATTTGTTTATCCTCATATTTATTTCAATATTTTTTAAATTTTTTTATTATTTGATTTATGTAATGCATGTATTTAATTCTGTATCATTTATTTTTTCTGTGTTTATTTAAACATTTGTTTTGTTATTTACTAATTGATACGTAGGTCATGTTTCATCCTCCATATTCACATTTATTTATCCATTTAATTAATTTATTATTATTATTTATTCATTTATTATTATATTTTATTTATTTCATGCATTTATTTATTTATATATTATTTTTTTCTGTATTTATTAATATATTAATTTGTTTTCCATATTTCTTCCTGTATCTATTTATACATTTCTTTAGTTATTTATTTATTGATACTTAGGTCATGTGTCATTCCCCATGGTCTTCTGTTGTTACACCTTGCACTTAACATATTTGGGGTTTTTTTGTTTCACAATTTATTTGAAAAGTTGCAACACGAAATGTGGTATTTATTTTTTAGGTATTTATTTATTCATGCATTAATTTATGTATGTATTTACTCATGCATTTATTCATTTACTTATTTATTGCAACTTGAGCCATTTTTGTCCTCCATGCTTTTCTATTGTTGCACTCTGCACTTAATTTATGATATTTATGTGATTTTACAACCTTGTTTTATGACCAGTTTGTAAACTTGCAATACACAGTGTGAAAATTTAGCTATTTGACCTTGGAAAATTCACATAGTAACACGGATCCATGCTTTTATTCTCTCAGCCTATTCAACCCCCACATTTAAATTCTCCGGCGGCATCCTGGTTGCTGAAGCGAGCAGGTGGTTCCCTAAACCAAATGTGACATGGACCAGCTTCGATGGAGATGTCCTGAATGGAAGCACGAGCTACGCACAGAACTCTGCAGGGATTTTCAGTTTAGTCAGCAACCTGCAGCCAGTCAACATCAGCGACACCTACACCTGCAAGATAGAAAATGACCTGGTGACCTCCATCTCCAGGGAAACTGTAACAGGTAATCTTGTACTGTATAGTGTAACTCTCGAGCTGACATGTTTTTCATTTTCCATTCCACATTTTTAAATGCAAAGTCTTTGTTACAAACTGGAGTGTGGTTTGAAGGCACAGGTATTTAGTAGGCAGTGAGGGTAAAATTAAAGACAGTGTTGAGCTGAATTTTGGGAGATGTAGGATTTATTCTGGAACTAAGAGTCCTCTCTGTGACCCATATTATGGACTAAAAGCCAGAATACTTTGGCATCTGCTGCCTTGATTTTAGCCGTTATTTTTTATTTTGGCTGTTCTTATTTTTATTATTGTGTCTCTGACAAGTTTCTCAACTCCTGCAACACTCAATCAGTGGAGTGCTCCTTTAATTCAGCCGCCGTCTAGCAGATATTTCTTCAGAAAGTACAAATATATTCATGTTTTTTGTCATTGTGCACAAAGGTCAAAATACTAACAAAAAAACTGAAATAATTAAATATAGTATTAAAATAAATAAATAAAGCAAAACAGATTCTGGTACATTTAAATCTCCTTTTCTATTTCCAGCCTCTGATGTTTTGGGGAGCACATACTTCACCTTCAATGCTGCACCGCCCCTGCTGACGTCATCGACATACCTGAGCATCATGACGAGTGTCCTCTGCATCTATTATCTGACCTAATAACACACACACACACACACTCCACCTTGGTGTGAATCTCTTTGCTTTGCATGCGCTGCATTCAGAAACAGAATTTTAACAGAAGTAAAGATTCAAAGTGCATAAATGCAGTAATTTCTGAAAATGACCGGTATGTTATTTGGTGTTTAATTTATTACAGTGGATGTTGTTACTGTGTAACAGAATTTTCTCGATCAACATTTCATTTCTACTTTCTCAGGTGTATGTGTGTCATGTTTTAAGTGAAGGCTCCATCTAGATCATGTGTAATAAACATTTCTAAATTTTAATTAGCTTGACTTTCTATTTTCAAAGTTGTGTGTACATTATTATTGGAAGTAATCAACATCCATGAGGAGAAACTGCGGGAAAAATAAAGACACAATAAGAAATTAAACTGCATATTAAATTCCTGCATATATAGAAAAGGCGTATATGATCAAACTGGTACCTTACCATTTTTTGTATTACTGAGTCAATAAATAAATACCATGGATTTTAGTTGTTTGGAAATGGGCTGATTTATTTCAAAGTTTGGGATGTCAAAAAGAAATTTGGGGGAAAAAAAACTGTCTATTATTATTATACTGTGAACATATTTGTTCTTTATGTCTTTCATATTTTTCTTTTATTTATTTTCCCTTTAACTGTGACCAAAAATTTTCTTTTTAATGGATTGTAAACTAAAAAGCAAATACACTGTATATATGAAAATTGGCTTGAAAAGATAAAGTATAAAAGTATAAATAAAATAATTAAATCATGCA